CCTTCCCGCTCTGCCCGCAGTGGAAGGAGGCCAGCGGGCGATATTCTTCAACCGCATCGGTGGGATCCAGCCGGACACGATCATGGCTGAGGGGCTGCACTTCAGGTAGGGGGGTGCTTGGAGGGACGAAGGTTCCTGGGGTGTGAGCCCTAACCCTGGGTTCTTTGGTGGGCACTGGGCCCATGGAGGTCTCCTAACTCCTACAGAAAACGACCGCCAGACCAGCAACCTGAGTGGTTGGACTGTGCGCCCAGAGCTTTCTGCTTTGCACTACTTTCTGCTGCTTGATCAGATGATAGCAGCCCACAGGCCAAATAGTGGGGTATGGAGGACGTGCGGGGGTTAAGTGGCAATACCACCCCCAAGCGGGGTAGGGGAGGGACACAGCTTTCCAGCATGTGCAGGAGTGGGTGACGGCAGGGTCCCCACGACTGACCACATCCTTGGTGGGGTGGCAACTCAAACAAGTAGCTGGAGTGTCTTGTTTTTCCTTTGAAAATATGATCGTTCAAGTCCTAAGTTAGTCCTTTAAATATTGTTTTATCCTTCTTTGATATTCTTCAGTGTTTGATCTCACTGTCTCCCCCCTCCTCTCCCACACGTTCACGCTCTGTCCCCAACCGCTTTCTCGCCTTCTTGATACCTCTGTTTACTGTATAACATTTAATCCTTGGCGTTTCAGAGTTCCCTGGTTTCAGTATCCGATAATTTATGATATCCGAGCTCATCCCCGAAAAATCTCCTCCCCAACAGGCTCTAAAGGTGAGACCATTTTCTTAGGGCACAGTCCTTTGCCAATTATTTCTGTATTAGCCCAGCACTAGAATATTAGAGCATGTTGTGGCGCCTAAGCAGAGCTGAGCATGCACAGGATTGGAATAGTGGGATGGGGCTGCAGTCCAGGAGTAAAACTTTATCAGTTAGTGGAGAGCCTATGACTGGAATATTGGCTTGGGGCCTGCAAATTTAGGAGTATTGGCAGAGCTGGAACATTGCCAGGCTGGAAGGTGATCCAGTCAATCTGATTCTCTGTCTCTTAGATCTACAGATGGTGAACATCTCTCTGCGTGTCCTTTCACGCCCCAATGCTGCAGAGCTGCCCAAAATGTACCAGCGCCTGGGTCTGGACTATGAGGAGCGGGTCCTTCCTTCCATTGTCAATGAGGTGCTCAAAAGTGTTGTGGCCAAGTTCAATGCTTCCCAACTCATCACTCAACGAGCTCAGGTAACCCTATGGTGGAGGACCTGGAATGGTAGAGCTTGCCTGGAGTTAGCTATCCCCTCCTTCTTCCCCACTCCCAACCCCCTTCACAGCACAGGATGGACAAGGGACAGAGGTGGGTGTGGAAGGATTATCTGTTGGCACCAGGTTCAAAGGCAGTGGATACTATGAGAAACCTCCACTGGCTTCTGGTGAGTGAGGTGGAACTTTTGGTTCTGGTACGTGTTGGGAGCAGTAACAGGGAAATGCAGGAAAGAGGTCATGGAGGCTAAATGTAAATTTCTTTACATTGGCCTATGGTCAATCTATATAATATAGACAGAGTACACTGGCAGAGCACTGCTGTATCAAAAAGATTTTATAGAAAAATTCTTATAGCCCAGAACCACACCATTGAATCTCCAGGGATACAGATCCCAAGATGGAAGAATGTATTACTGGCCTCCAGTTTAAAAAAAGCAATTTGAGTGCACAGTGTAGAGAGACATCAAAAGCAGGAAAACCTAATGGCAATAATGGGGGTTTTAACTTCCCACAAGCAGCCTGGTCCAATAGCACAATGGAAGCTTTTCATCAACATTTTAAGTGATAGCTGTTCCAAGAAGCAAGTTCTAAACTGCACAAGAGAGAAAATATTTGTTCATGTTAGTCTTAAGAAGCTGTCATGAAGTTACAGTAGCACAACCACTAAATAATCATAACCACAGTTTAATAAGATTCAACATCTTTTGGGCTCCTACGATACCAAAAAGTGACACTAAACTTTAGAAAGGGGGATTTCAATAAAATGAGTAAGTTAGTCAAAAGAAGTTAAATGATAAAGAAGCAGATAAAATTCCAAGAGATAGAATTGATTCTACTTCTAAAAAAAATAGAGAAGACATGGGCACTGTTGAACTAAAAAGGATCCTGAAAGGCAAAGAGTGAATCCGTATGACTAACTGAAGATGCTATTCAAGCCAAACAGAAATCCTTCATAATTTCAGAAGCTAGTCATTATGAAGCAAATGAACGGGTGAATACATTGTAGCAGGCAATGTGGAAGAGGAAAATTTAAAGGGAAGAGATAGTTTGAAGAGAAAATAGCGAAAGTCATAAAACAAATTAGATTATTTCAATGTATCAGAAGCAGGAAGCCTGAGAAAATTGGTGAGTCCCTTGGATTATCAGAGGTTTAAGAGTACGATTAAGGAGGATAAAGATTTGATTGAGAAGTTGCATATTCTCCTGACACCAGACTTCAGCACTGAGATGTTAGAGGGATTCCTATAATTTTCTGTCCTTTCTGATATGAAGATGAGGTCCATTCCACATTGATCATTTACAAGGCAATAAATCACCAGGCCCTGCTGGGATATAGCTCAGAAGGAGTTTCAGGATGAAGTATTGGAGTTGCTAAAAAGAATAGTCGCTTTCTCATTAGCAACCTCTTCTGGAGGATAGAAAATGGTACTTGCGCATATAAGAGAAGTAATGGAGAAAGGGATATATTGTATATTCAGCAGTGAAGAAGCAAAATATGCAAATAATAGTTATTTGGGTTAGTCTGGACAAGAGAGGGACTGGGAGGAACTTTAAAGAGACCCGGACATGCTAGAGAACTGGGCCACGTGCTACCAAATGAAGTCCCTTGTCAGGGAATGCAAAATAATGCATGGGGGGGGGGGGGGGCTTTATACTGCAGGATTCAATATTAGCTGTATCAGCTCAAGAGAGACCTGGACATCACAGACAGCTCAGTCATAGCCTCTGTGGTCAAAAAGAAAAACAGAGTATTAGGAGACATATGGAAAAGGATTGTGAATAATACAGGGAATATTGTAATGCCTTTATATACATCACTGGTACAGCCTTCTCTAGATACTGTGTGCAGTATTGATCACGGCGTCTCCAATGGATATTGCAGGCTGGAGGCAGTTCAGAGAAGAGTGGAGAATGATCAGGGGGTCACTGGGATTGTTTCCTTAGAAAGGAGACAAATAGGGGACATAAGTCTCTACAATAATGACCCCTGTAGAAAAAAGAGCTCCGAAACTTCTCTTGGCCTTGTCTCAGAACAAGTGAACACCTACATTGAAAGGTGGGAAATTCAGACCTCATAGTAGGAAACGCTTCCACGCTGTGTGATGTAAACTTAGGAAATCATTGCCACGAAAGTGTTGCTGAGGACTGAGAGAACTCAGTTAATGGCAACATTAACATTTTAACAGCCCATACCATTTTTGGAAGGGATATTAAAATTCATGCTCCAGCATTTAAGCTGATCTCTGACTTTTAGAGACTAGGCCAAAACCTAATAGGGGTCACATTTTTCCACATCTGTTGGCTGCAGGGTCTCTTATAGTTTTTCCGTGCAGCAGATGGTCCTGGCCTCTGTAGGTCTTGGATATTCAAGGGTCCTGGCTACCCAAGAATCCTCTGCTTGTTATTCAGGATACTAGGGACCCTAGGAAGTGGACTGAAGGAGAGGGAGGTAGTGATGCTTTGGAGAGAATGGTAAAGGAAGAGTTCAGTGGGTTACAGTCCTCCTCCTCCCCACCCTTGTATTTCAGGTCTCTCTGCTTATCCGACGGGAACTGACAGAGCGAGCCAAGGATTTCAGCCTCATCTTGGATGATGTGGCTATCACAGAGCTGAGTTTTAGCCGTGAATACACAGCAGCTGTTGAGGCCAAGCAAGTGGGTGAGTTGGAGCTGCCTGCAAGCCCAGCCCAGTGCTAGGAAGTGAGTACGCTGGAGTGGCCCTTATGGTTTGGAATCCTGAGCACGTCTGCCTCTGTGACAGGTGAATGCTAGGATGCTACTGGGAGCATCAGCCACAGACAGCTCCATTCCTTTCCTTTTCGCATCAGGCAACTTAGTGCCACAAGTTGTGTCTCAATGGCACTAGCATCCCAGGGCTGTAATCACAGTCAGCTCTTGCCAAAGTCTGGGTCCCTTGGCCAGCATCCAGACCTGTGTATTTGACGGGCAGCATTTGAAAGTGCTTTATCATGGAAGCTGGACTAAAGATTCTCCATCCCTGAGTTGCCATTGCTTCAGGGAGCTCCGCTCCTTTAGTTCCTGACTCTTGGTGCTTGTAGCTTTATCGTGGTTGTGCCTAGGGTGCCCCGCCGCCCTGTGCTGGATACAGCCAACACATCCTTAGGGGTTCCCTTTCTAAGACGTGGACAATAATGATGAGCTAGGCAAGGGTCCAAGATACTGTAATGGCAGGCCCTGAGAAGCACAAGCCCCAAGGAACAGACTGTAGGAAGGATCCTGCCATGGGATTTAAAAAGATGGGACCTGGTTCTGATGTCTCTGATTTTGGCCTTTTCCCTCCCTAGCTCAGCAAGAGGCCCAGCGAGCCCAGTTTCTGGTGGAGAAGGCCAAGCAGGAACAGAGGCAAAAGATTGTCCAGGCAGAGGGGGAAGCCACGGCTGCCAAGATGATATCCTTTTCGTGCCCTGGGGAGGAGGAGGGGTTGGTCAGAGTGTCTGGCATGGGCTGGAACACAGGGTGCCTCTGTCAGCCTGAGAGGTGCACGCACAGGGACTGAAGGCAGATGTGACCGGTGTCACTCTTCTCTGGGCAGAGCAAGGGGGCTGTCTGTGTTCGCCTTTGGTCTTGGTGTAGGCTGGAGCCTCCATTCCCAACTGACAGTTGACTTGATCTACATCCAGCTCTTGTCATCCCATTGCCTGTGGCTTGGGGGGGGCATGTGCTGTCCCTGGAGCCGAAGGTCAAACTGATGCCGTGCTCATTGTTTCAGACAGAATGTGGTTACTGTTAGGAGGGGAAGCTGGGCAAGGGTCTGTTAGAAGATTCCCCCTTAACTTACTGTGGGCCCCACATTGGCGAAGCATTGAGCAAGAACCCAGGCTATATCAAGCTGCGCAAGATCCGAGCTGCCCAGAACATCTCCAAGACTGTGAGTGGGGTGGGGTGGGGTGGGGTGCCTGTCTCATTCTGCTTCACAGTCCTGTTTGCACACCCCACAGCCCAGAGGCCATGTGATGAGTCAAAGGCGAATGTGACCTGCTTCCTCCTGACCTTTCCCCTTTTCACCCCACTGTTCTGTCAAGTGGGGGTTGCCTGTACTGATCTGTGATCTTGGTGGGGGAGTAGGAGCCTCCCCCCACCGTAAAGTCAGATCTATATCAGCATCCTATCCCCAGCCACAGCTACCGAGAGGCCCCAGTACCTGTGGTGTGGGAAAGGGGCACATGCCTGCTTGGGTGTCAGAGGTCAATGTGATGGAAGATGGAATGAGCACAAGTTCTCCAAATCTGATGGCCCTGGATGTAGGGCATGACTTTGTCCTTATTCAGACTGGTACTACTGTAACTAAGATGTGCTCTTGTACCAATAGAGAGCTCCAGGTAGACCGGAGGCAGGCAGAATATGGACCAGATACAAACGCCCCGCTGCCCAGCAGGAGTGCCCTGCTTGTGTCCCAGCACGCTGCTCAAAGCAGCTGGTTGCAGGGGCTATGTGCTTGCTGTGTGTCCTTGGGGGAGGGGCCTTGCATGCTACCCAAGCCCCAGCACAGTCTCTCAGCTTACCTGGGCTGTGCTTGCAGCGCAGGCAGCACACAGAGTATCCCTCCTGCCAAAGGGGGACACAAAAAGCACATGGCCCACCACAGCCAGCTGCTTGGAGCAGCATGTGGCTGTGACGGAGGGAGCCTGCCTGAGGGGCCTGCTAGGCTGCTGGTCCGGAGCCGCCTAAGGTGAGCGACTCCTGGCCAGAGCCTGCACCTGCCACCCCACTCCCTCCTGCATACCAATCCTTTACACTAAGCTTCCTTTCCCCCCCACCTCCATCCCAGATCCTTCCACCTCCTCCATTAACAAAGAGTGGAGCCCTTGACCACTTACCAAATTCTTGCAGTGGCCTCTTATCAAAAACTATTGCCCACTCCTGATGTGTAGACCTTTGGGATTTGATTGTAAGCCTAGCTTCAATTGATCCATCTGGACCCAGTTCTGTTTTAATTTATGGCAGCTCAACAGAAACCAGGTTTAAATCTGATTAAGAATGTCCACACGATTTTGCACCAACTTAATTACATTTGTGTTTAAACTGAGTTTAAAGGGTAACTGGTGCAGCCTCGGCAGGTGTCATAGATCATAGCAGTGTAGGGCTGGAGGGGACCTTGAGAGGTCCTCTAGTCCGGTCCTCTACTTGGGCAGGGCCAAATAAACCCAGAGCATCCCTCACAAGTATGTGTTCAGCCTGTTCTTAAAAACCTCCCTGAAAGCCCCCGGGTCATCACCTCCCAAGGACCCAGACTACACTCAGCAGCACAGAGTCCGTTTCTTTCTTTCTTTCTTTCTTTCACACTCACACACACAAAATGTCTGCAAGGTAGCAGTTGTAAGGAGGTGAAGGGGCCTCATTGACCCCACCCTTCTGCAAACTTGCCCCCACTTCAGCCATCCTGCCCTCACTTGGTCTGTCTTCCAGATTGCAGCGTCGCAGAACCGTGTGTATCTCACAGCAGATAACTTGCAGTTGAACCTACAGGATTCGGACTTCACCAGGTAAGGTGGTTCAGAAAGACTCCAGAAGGTGGATTCTTCCCTTTTCCCGAAGCTCACTCCCTCTGTATATGAATGTTAAAGGCGTTCTGAGCCCCCAGAGATGTCCCTGAATCCTATTTCCCTTGAGTAGGGCAGTCCATGGATTGTACGGGAGGGCCTTGCTTGTCTGTATTTATACTGTTATAAAAGGAGAGATGTCTGTCACGCTGTCTGTCACAAAGAACATTTGAGAAGAGAAGTTTCTAGGCGGAGGCAGGCCACTAGCCCCGCCTACAGCCTCGCCCCCTTTGCTGAGGCCCCTCTCCCACCCTGGGGAGGGGAGGAAGAGGTGCAGTGTGCCGAGTGTGCGCCACCCCCATCTCCCACAGGGAGTGGAAGAGCATGTGCACACCTGCCCCAGCATCCTTGGAGCAACTGGGAGGGAAGAGGCCACATGGCCCCAATGTCCCCTTTCCCCCTGGGAGCAAGGAGGGAGGAGGCCACATGTGCATTTAATGCACAATGGGACCGGTAATGCAAGTCTTGCTAAAGCTCAGGTCAGATCAAGTTAAATCTAATTGTTTTTCTCTTTTCTCTCTCGTGGCTGCCTCTCCTGCCCTGCAGAGGAAGGTAAGGCACTTGTCACTTTGGGTGATGCCTTTTCCAGCGCATGGGAGCAGCGCTGGTGGCTATCAGCAGTTCAGGCCACAAGGGAAGTGCACCATAAGGAAGAGGGTGGTCTAGGGGTTTGAGCACTAGCATGACACTTGAGTCTAGTTCTCTGCTACAGACTTGCTGTGTGACTTAAGCACCAAACTCCCACGGAGTTGCCAAAGTGCCTGTGAGAACATAGGCCTTCACATCTGTCTGCTCCCCAGCTGTACATGGACTGGTAGCACTGTCCTAGCTCCCAGGGATGTGCTGCGGGCAGATACGTCACACTGTGAGGTGCCCCAGTGTGACAGGCAGGCAGGTGGTGTGGGGAGCCCAGGCTGAGGCAGGCTGGGATCATGGAAGGAGGCAGCTTGCATGGGCATTGCATGCTGTAGGTGAGCTCTGTTGTGTGGAGGGGGGCTTTCTCCATGCAGGTTCCTTTTCCTCAGAGGCTCTTTCAGCCCCCTTGGAGTGTAAACTCCCTCCATGCTCTCAAAGGCCTCTGGTGTTTATGGTTCTCTCCTGCCCCTGCTGAATCCCACCTGTGACACGGGTAGGCCAGCTGCTAGAGTGGGGCTTGGGAGTCAAGACTCCCGGGTTCTGTTTCCGCTGTGGCCGCATCTTGTGCGACCTGGAGTTATTTCCTCCTCTGCCTTCGACTCTGCCACTGTAAGAAGGGCTGAACGGCTACTTCTCCCAGGGGTCATGGAGCTTTGAGAGATGCTAGTTTAGCCAGGACTGGAAGCCAGCTCTGTTCCCGGCGCTGCTACTGGGGCATGTGGACAGGCTGGATCTGCTGATTAAACTCTGCCTGCCTGTGCAGTCTGTAATGGCTCACTTCTCTCTCCTGCAGTGACAGCCTCATAATCAAACAGGGCAAGAAATGAAGCCATTCACACCAGCTGGCCGAGCGAGTGACTTGGCGAGACTCCTCCTCTGCCTGGGCCCTCCCCTGGGGCCTGTTCGCTTTCATCGACCGCCATCTCACCCCCTTCGAAATTCCCAATACAGTGGCCTAGCTGGTCCCTGTTTCCCAGTGTTGGGAGCCCTCTCTGCCATTGGGTTTCAGCAGTTGGCTGGTTTAATTCCTCCTTCATGTATGTGCTGTCCAGTCCCATTTGGAGGACCAGTGAGAGCCCTTGGGGACCTGTTCACACCCCGCCTCTTCTAGAGCTTGGATTTTTATAGGGCTAGAACCATAACTGCTGTCTGCCAAGCCTGTGAGGCCTTTATATTTTGGTACCAGCACCCAACTTTCAGTTCGATGACTATTGAGTTTCTATTCCCCCCCCCACCCTGTGGGAAGCTCATGGATGAAGGCTTTCAAGGGGCTTCTGCTCTCAGATCACACAATCTAGTCTGCTCAGTGATTCTTTCAGAAGTTTGTAAAAATAAAAAACTCAAAATGTGTCCCAGGTGTGTGTGGGGTGGAGACTGTATTTTGTGTATCTGGTGGGGTGGCAGTGGGGGAGGGGGAAACCCTCTTTGTGCTACAGGGGACAGATGAATGGAGTTGATGCTCTGCTGCCAACACACACTGATACCCAAGTCTGCTGCACTTTTGGCAAGGCCTGAGCGGTGAGACGCTTCACGGAGCCTGCTTGCTGCCATTTCAGCTGCCTGAGCCCAGGGCTGGAATAAGGCCCACAGCCCCACACTGCCTGCTTGGGAGCTGGCTGAGCAGGGCTGTTTAATCAGTCCTCTCCATGCATTGCTTGCTCAGTACCAGCTAGATTTAGGGTAATGACACTTCCTCCCCAACACCATCTTCATCCCTTTGCTTTTCTCAAAGCTGAATTAAACTCTCTTTTTATTCTCATGTTTCCTGTAGGAGGCCTGCCCAGCACCTCCCCTCCCATCTGCTGCTGCAGGGCGAATGGGGTGGATGCTTTGCTGAGCACCTTGCATGGTGCCAATACTTTAAGCAGTTTCCTTCTAAGACTGTGTCCACACTGGCGCATTCTTGCATGAAAATGGCTGCTCTTGCGCAAAATCATGCCACCTGTCTACACTGGCTGCGTGTTCTTGTGCAAGTAAACTGACGTTGTATTGTAGAAAATCAGGGCTTCTTGCGCAAGAGCTCTTCCAGAAAAGGCCAGTGTAGACAGGCAACATTAATTTCTTGCGCAAGAAAGCCCTATGGTTAAAATGGCCATCAGAGCTTTCTTGCGCAAGAGAGCGTCTACGCTGGCATGGATGCTCTTGTGCAAAAGCACATGCCAGTGTAGACGCTCTCTTCTAGAAGGGTGCGTCTAGCTTGGCAAGATTTTGCGCAAAAGCTTGCCAGCTGTCTGCACTGGCCACTTGAATTTGCACAAGAGCACTGACTTTGTAATGTACAAAATCAGTGCTTCTTGCGCAGTTACTTTCACGCTCCCGCTCGGGGAAAAAGCCCTCTTGCCCAAGAATACTTGCGCAAGAGGGCCAGTGTAGACAGGGAAGAACTGTTTTGCGCAAAAAAGCCCCGATGGCTAAAATGGCGATCGGGGCTTTCTTGCGCAAAATCGTGTCTAGACTGGCCACGGATGCTTTTGTGCAAAAGCATCCGTGGCCAGTTCTGTTAAAAGTATTTCCGCAAAACTTTTCAATTAAAAGTATTTCTGTAAAATCATGCTAGTCTAGACGCAGTCAAAGAGTTTTTGCAGAAGAACTCGTCCATAAAAGAGTTTTTGTGTGAGAATGTGCCAGTGTAGATGTAGCCCAAGGCTACGTCTACACTCATGGGCTGTGTCTACACTGGGCCACTTATTCTGGAAAATCAGTCGCTTTTCCGGAATAAGCTGCGAGCTGTCTACACTGGCCCTTGAATTTCCGGAAAAGCAACGATGCTCTACTGTACAAAATCAGCTGCTATTCCGGAAAAACTATTATGCCCGAGCGGGAGCAGAAGTCCTTATTCCGGAACACTGTTCCAGAAAAGGGCCAGTGTAGACAGCCCAGTAGTCTTTTCCGGAAAAAAGTCCCGATCGCGAAAATGACAATCGGGGCTCTTTTCAGGAAAAGCGCGTCTACATTGGCCCCAGACGCTTTTCCGGAAAAAGGGCTTTTCCGGAAAAGCAGCCTGCCAATGTAGACGCTCCTTTTCTGGAAAAACTGAAAACGGAATAGTATTCTGTTTTAAGCATTTCCAGAAATTCATGCCAGTGTAGACACAGCCATGGCTTCTTATGCAAGTACAGCCATTCTTGTGTAAGGAAATTTACAGTATGGTGTGGTGAGAGAGGGCTTCTTTTTTATCAGGTGTAAGCACTCTCGTGCAAGAGGGCAGTGTGGATGCTCAGCAGGGGTTTCTTGTGCAAGAAAGCCCTATGGCGAAAATGGCCATCAGAGCTTTCTTGTGTAAGAGAGTTTCCACACTGCCATGGATACTTTTGTACAAAAGCACAGCTTGTACATGGCAGTGTGGATGTTTTCTTGCACAAGAACCCTTGTGTAAGATAGTCTTGTGCAAGAAGCCGCCAGTGTAGCCATAGCCTAAGACCGTGGTCACCAACCCATCGATCGCAAGGCCTTGCCCAGTCGATCGCAAGGCATTCGGGCAACCCCACTCCCTATTTTCCCCACCCCCGAGAAGCCCCGCTACCTACCTCTAGTGTAGTGCCGGCTTCCCGCAGGGTGGACAAAAGTCCTGTTTGAAGCCCGCGTCACTTCTGGGAGTTCTGGAAGTGCACGGGCTACTCCTCTCCTACAGCTCTGTTGCATGCTGGGGGAGCGGGCGTCAGCCCCAGAGGAGGAGTGCGGAGGCTTCCCGGTGCTGCTAGCGCTGGAGGGGTGACTTGAGAGCAGGGGTATCCCTGTGCTGTAGGAGTGGGGGTTGGCCCCGGGGTTTGGCTGGGCAGTGCCACAGGAGGGGGGTTTGGCCTTGCTGCAGGAGGGGAGGGCAGGGGTTGGTTGGGCTGGGCCAGGCCGGGCTGAGCTGCACTGTGGAAGGGGGGTTTGGCCCCGGGGCAGGTGCCCGCGGGGGTTGGCCATGCTGCGGGAGGAGAAGGGATGGGCCGGGCCATGCCATGGAAGGGTGGGGTTTGGCCCTGGGGCAGGCACCCGCGTGAGTTTGGCCCTGCCACGGGAGAGGGGGTTGGCCCCGGGACAGGCACGCGAGGGGGTTCCCTGCCCCGTGGGGGGGAGCGGAGGCAGGGGCTGGCTTCCCTCTGGGAAGGAGAGAATCCTGGGAGGAGGCAGATGCAGGGGACTCTCTGCTGCCACTGGCACCCTGCCCCCACTCCCCAGACCCTACTCCCCAGTCCCCAGCTACAGAACTCTGTCCCCATTCCCTGAACTCTGTCCCCACTGGCACCCTGTTCCCTGCTGCAGAACCCTGTCCTCTGCCCTCCCAGCACCTTGTTCCCTCTCCCCTGCCCCTAGCTGCAGAACTTTCCCCACAAAATGTATAATTATAAATGCTTCATTTTAGATTTAAATAGCATGAATAAAAAACAGACCATTTATTTCATAACTATAAACGAGATTTTAATTTTATATATTACATAATTTAAAAATAAACTTTATCAGCGGCTACGTCTAGATTGCATCCCTTTTTCGTAAAAGGGATGCAAATTAGACACATCGCAATTGCAAATGAAGCAGGGATTTAAATCTCCCCCACTTCATTAGCATAAAAATGGCTGCCACTTTTTTTCGGCACAGAGCTTTGCCAGAAAAAAGCGCCAGTCTACTCGCGGAGCTTTTAGAAAATAAAGCCTTTTCCGAAAAATCCCTTATTTTAAGAGGAATAAGGGATCTTTTGGAAAAGGCTTTATTTTCTGAAAGATCCCTGACTAGACTGGCGCTTTTTTCCGGCAAAGCCCCGAGCCGGAAAAAAGCGGCAGCCATGTTCATGCAAATGCAGTGGGGAAAATTTAAATCCCCGCGGCATTTGTAATTCTGACTTGTCTCATCTGCATCCCTTTTCTGGAAAAGGGGTGCAGTGTAGAGACAGCCTAGATGTAGCCAGAGTGTGTAAGTAAGGGCTGGGGATAGCAAATGATGGACAGGAGGAGAATAGAGAGGGCGGGGCTTCAAGGAAGAGGCGGGGCGGTAGATCTTTACCTGTTCTGAGATTTTAAAAGTGATCTTCTGTGTAAAAAGGTTGGAGACCACTGGCCTAAGAGGAATCAAAACTGCTCCCGGACCGCTGGTGGGGAGAGCCTGGAATTGCAGCAGCTGGGGGGCTTCTCCCCAGCTCTCTTGCATCTGCCTTTCCTAGCCCAGGTGCTCTAGAAGGGGAGAGGCTGCCCCTGGGCCCTCTGGCTGTGCAGTGCTGAGAGAGCCCCACCTGTCTCCCAACGAATTGGCATTGCTGCGCACATGGTAACTGATGTGTGCGAGGCATCTGAGGCTCAGGAGAACGCTATTGCAGTGTCAGTTGCCACATGCCTCCTTGTGTGTAGATGGCAAAGTGATGTCAGAGCTGCTGTGCCGGGGTTATGACAGCCACGAGAACAACTGGGTTCAGAAATGAGCGAGCTACTTTCCTGGAAGACAGCTCTATCCATGGCTGTCAGCCAAGGGGGCAGGATGCAGCTCCATGCTCTGGGTGTCCCAGAGCCTCTGATCACCTGAAGCTGGGACTGGATGATGAGATGGATCACTCAACCGTTGCCTGGCTCTGTTCAGCCCTTTTTGGGGCACCTGGCACCACCCACTAGCAGCAGCTGGGGGCAAGAGAGGTCATTGCTCTGGCCCAGTGGGGCTGTTTGTATAGTCTCATTAGCTGCTCCCTGCTTTTGTCATGCCCCAGACTGCTGGTTCACACTGGCACCAGGCCCATTAGTGGGGGGACACTTACCATTGGGTTAAGGAAATGGGGGCAGCTAACCCAGGCTAGCACCATCTGTAGGGCCATGGGTGGCATGAACATGGAGCTGGGCATTGGGTTCCAAGCATGGGGGGAGAATACAGCTCTGGGGGACAGGAATGTGACCACCACCCTTTCACTGCCTTGCTCTGGAGCTGCTGCTTTCCTGATTTCTGGCCCACAGAGCTGGCTAGCCAACAACCTGCCAGCCCTGAGTGGGTCACTCAGCCACAGGAATCAACCGTCCCCCCCTTGTTCCTATAAAGCCTGGTCAAAATCACCTTGGCTTTAAAACACCCAGACTGGGCCCTGGGGAGCCTCATGGCTGTTATCTCAGCTCCCCTCCCCCAGCTCAGGGCGCTCTGCCCTGCCCCATAGTAGTGTTTGGGGCCTGCAGTGTTAAACATTCACTTCAGGCAGCATTGACCTTTCCTCTCTGCTTCTGCCGGAGTCCCCAGCCACCTTGCAGCCGTGGCACCGCTTGGTGCACTCTGACTTTCCTGGGACAAACGAGCCCTCTGGCTTAGCTGCATGCCACCTCCTTCCCCTGCACGGGCATTGTTCAGTGCAGAAACAGCCCTCACCCAGGACTCATCACCCTTTTCCTGCCAGCAGGCCAGCCCTCACACCACTCCCAGCCAGGGCTTTTGCGGGCTCCACACATCGCCCTCTCCTGGGGCCAGGCAGGTGTAACCTCTTGCTCCCAAGCCTCCTGGTTACGTTTTAATCTCACCATATAGGGCATGATGAAGACTAGGCTAGTGTGCGGGGTTGCCTGTGTGGTCTGCACTACAATGTTACATCCAGGTAAAGCGTCTTACCCAATCACATCAGTGTCTATGTTGCTGTTTCTGCAGAAGTGGGGGCCTGCTACACTGACATAACATCACCTCTGCAGGCGGCTTAGTGTGCATATCGATGGCCACATTTACTGCCCAGCTGTAGCAGCAGGTCTCCTACCTGGGCCTTAGCAGAGGGGCTCACAGCTGGAGCTCTCCCTGTGCACCCTACAGCCAAGAGGCCGTGTTGTGAGCTCTGAGGAGGGCTTGGTTTCCCTTCAAGAAGCAACCCCCCCCCCGGTGAAAATGCCGTTCTTGGTAGTGTCACAGCTGCTATTTCACATTTCCTCTCTGGCTGCCAGCTGCAGCGCAGGGAGTGGCGCACTAGTTCTGATCCTCACATGGGCAAACATTTGGGCTGTCAGCCCCAGGGCCAGGCTGAGGGAGGGAGAGGAGGGCTCTGGCTGTGAGCCTTCCATAGGCAGACAGCCAGAGCTGGAGCTGAAAGGTGAAACAGCAGCAGCAGTGACACTGTCAAAAATATCAGTTTCGCTGCTGATCCGCTCCCTGCTGTGAAACTCAGCCCTGCAGTGGCTCACAGTGGTGAACTTGGCCACGGCTGACAGCTTTTGGGGGAGCCACTGCTGTGAGCCAGTGCCTGCCTGATAGCTGGGGGGAGCCAGCTAGGAGCCCCGCCAACAGCTAGGGCAGCCAGGCTATAGATGACAATGTCGCTCAGGGCCCCACTCCAGCTGGCGGATGTGCACAGTGTGAGGACATGCACCACTGAGAGAAGCAAGCTGGCCATTAATCACTGCTTTAAATACTGCAAGGGGTAGCTGACTGAGTCTGTACAGGATAAACTTAAAAAACAACAAATGGTCTGGTAGCACTTTCTAGACTAACAAAACATGTAGATGGAATCATGAGCTTTCATGTGCACAGCCCACTTCTTCAGCTGACCAGAGTTTTGAGTTTAGGATGTGCAGACTGAAAATCAATAGGGACAAAGGGGGGGGGGTGGAGGAAAAAAAGAGAGGGGATGGGAAACAACGAGCAAAGGGTATGGAAATATCAAAGGGAAAAACAAGTAGGCAGAACTGGCAATCTATAAACACCTGGGCTGTGTCTACACTGGCACCCTTTTCCGTAAAAGGGATGCTAATGAGACACTTCGGAATTGCAAATTCTGTGAGGGATTTAAATATCCCTACTTTCAAGTAGGAATAAGGGATCTTCCAGAAAAGGGCTTATTTTCCGCAAGATCCCATCTAGACTGGCGCTTTTCTCCGGCAAAACCCCGAGCCGGAAAAAAGCGGCAGCCATGTTCATGCAAATGCCGCAGGGGATATTTAAATCCCCCACGGAATTTGCAATTCCGAAGTGTCTCACTAGCATCCCTTTTGTGGAAAAGGGTGCCAGTGTAGACACAGCCCTGAAGATTGGATCGTTGAAAGGAAACCGATCAAAGGATAGTAATAGTTAGGAAGGGTGTGAACGCTAGAATCTACAGACGGACGCAGCCTTTTGAGTTTTGCTCTCTTTCCCCCATCCTGTTCAGTGTCACATGCAGCGCGAGGCACGGAGGGTCCAAGCATCTGAAACGTTCCTTGTGCCAACCAGCCACTCCCCTGCCTTGGCAGGGCCAAGTTAACACTCTCTTGTTTGGTTCCTTAAACAGCTTTTCTTGTTCACAAACGCACACACAGTTTGGCACGGCAGCCCACACTGGTCAGCGGAGATCTTAGACAAGGCTCTTGATTGCCTGCACTACGGAACAGACCCTGCTCTTGTCACCACAAGGTGTGAAGTGACGCAGGGCCCAGGCCCAGCCAACACTGAACAGTCTGGCCCAAGCAGCAGGCTTGTAGCTGCAGCTGCAGATTGAATTCTTGGCACAGTCATTTAGGACAAGAAGCGACTGACTTGCTGAGCCGCCATTGCACAGCTACTGCCTCCAAACCCAGAGGTGGCTGCATTTCAGTGTTTGGCAAACCAACCCTTGACATGCCCTGCACAACCAGCAGTGAGAGAGCCCAGCTAAGTCACTAATTCTGGGAACACACAGAAGCTAGTCTGCACGAATAAGGGCAAGTTTTTGAGCAGTTAGGACCTCAGCTACTGGCTGCTTATGGTAAAATCAATGGGCGTTGGCCACAGCCCAACTCAGGGCCAGTGAACGGGACCAAGCTCCTTTCCCCACCAGGGCATTGGCTCCTAGGGGCCAGCTGAGGCACTGGCTGGCTCGGGCTGGGTTCAGAATCCTGTCAGGCACTGGGTCCAACCCAGAGCCACCACATCAATGGACTGCCGGGCACACTGGCAATCCCCCCCACAGCAATGACACTCTGCACACAGAGACACCCTGCCAGCAGGTTCATGCACCAGTCCCTGGCGGAAGCAGAGACTGACTGTTCCTCTCCTGCACTAGGTTTGTGCAAACCAAAAATAACTAAAACCAGCATTTTAAAAATCAAAGCCCAAGTTTTGGTGAAAACTGACAACACAAGAGAAAAAAAGAATCAAACTGAACCCCTGGTTTATTTACAAAGGGAAGCAAAACCAGCGCATCAAATCCACAAGTATATACAGCACCATAAGGAGGCAAGTGGATCTGCAAGGCAGAGGGGCTGTTGGTACAGGCACCAGGCCCAGAGAGAATTTTTCCTTGGATCCAGGGAGAGCAGGACCGGGTTGAACGGCAGGAGTCCAAAGGGCCAGTGTCAAACAGCAGCTGACTTAGCAAGAGCTGCTAGTCTCATGCCAGTGTGGAAGTTAACCCCCGTGGGGGCCTCTCTCCCATAGGAAGGGCTTGTGAAGGACAAACGGAGCTGGAGCTGACCCTGCACCGGTAGTGGCCAGGAGCAGAGAAAAGGGGCTATTTATTATCTGAAGAGAACAAGCAGCAGGCCAGAAAGCAGAACAGGTTGGACGTGCCTACTGGGTTGAGTGTGCAAGGACTGCAGGGGGAATCCCAGTCACCACGGCCTAGGACAGGGCATCTTCCATAGCTGAGGGGAGCTGAAAGGAGAGAGAAAACAGAGCAGGTGAGCAGTACTGTCAGGGCGCAACAGGGGCCGGCCTGCACTACAAAGCTGCTGGCACAGTTGCCTGGCCCTGGGGCCGAGTGGCAAAACCCCCAGACATGCGAGGCTGAGAAGAGAGGCCTCCAGTGGACACAGGGAACATGGTTTGGAGGATGGTGTCACTTGCTGATAAACCCGCCTCCTATGCTGCATGTCCAACGGGGCTCTGCCAGTGCAGCTGTCCTGGCGAAACATGCCGCAGAAACAAGGCCAGAGTCAGATGGTCCCCCACATGCAGATCTCCTTGGGGCAGCCAGTGAGCTGAACAG